TTAACTTGAGCGTACTTTAAGCACTTTCACTTGAGCTTTAAATGGAATGGTTGTTAGAGATAACTTTCCCTCAAGATAAGATTTTGTTTATGATTAACTTTGCATCTGTTAAAGTTGTTAATGTGAGATCACTTTATTATGATTTGTAATTCTTGATTTCGAACTCTGGAGATATGAACACTCTATGTTTACAATAGCACTGCTACCAGCTAATAAGTGTGTATTTCAAAACATAGATTTGTAGTTTTTATTTGTTATTTCGATAATATATGCTACAGTGAAGTGCCTTTTTTTGAGGTCCGTGTGTATAGTTCTTTTTGGTCCGAATTTCCAGCCAGCTGTATGTGGTATTAGGCTTTATGGTGATCGATTGAAAGTGGAAGAAGTGTGCATCTCTCTCTCTTTCTCTTTCTCTCTCCCTCTCTCCCTCCCTCTCTCCCTCTCCCTCTCCCTCTCCTTATCTCCTTTTCTTTCTGTGTCTCCCTCCCTTCCTTCCTTCCTTGAATGTGCATGTGTATCGAGGTGCGTGTGTCAGTGTGGATACATGTTTGTGTGCGCCCGCATCGGCACCAGTGTTCATGAGAGTCATCAAAAATAAGAGTGGGCAGTTGGACGGTGCAAGGAGTGAGTTTACGATAAATAGAAGAGAAGGGAAGGAGGGAAGGAGAAGGGGGCAGCAAGGAAGGAGGGGGTAGTAGAGGAGGGAAGAAGCGAGTGGGAACTGGGGTAGGGGGAGAGGGGGGATTGCTTCGCCTGGCCTCGGGTCGCGTTGAGATAATAAACTTCTTAAACTCTTCATCCCCAACAGCTGCGGCTGGGGTGTTCACTGCCCGGCTCACCGCTCGGTCACGGGACGAAATGGCTTCTGCATGGGACCTCATCACACTTGCATGCACCCGCTCTCTCTCTCTCTCTCTCTCTCTCTCTCTCTCTCTCTCTCTCTCTCTCTCTCTCTCTCTCTCTCTCTCTCTCTCTCTCTCTCTCTCTCTCTCTCTCTCTCCCTCTTTCTCTCTTTCTCTCTCTAATAAAGAGTGTATATTTTACTTGTATTCATTTGGAACTTCTTTGGGACTTCTCTCGTTTTCCTTTATTTCTCATTTCTCCATGTATCCCTATTCCTTTTCCCGTCATTCTCAGGACCGTTATTCGTCTTTACACCCCACCTTACCCTACGCTCTCCCTACGCCCTCTCTACCCCACAAGACCCCCGCCCCACCATACCCCCTTATATCCACCCCTCTACACCCCCAGCTCCATCCCCCCATCTCCCCCCATCTCCTAACCACTCCACTACACCCCCAGCTCTCCACCCCATCTCTCCACCCCACTCCACCCCACCATCCCCCCATCTCTCCACCCCACTACACCCCCCCCCCCATCTCCTAACCAATCCACTACACTCCCATCTCTCCACCCCACTACACCCCCACCATCCCCCCATCTCTCCACCCCACTGCACCCCCAGCCCCCCCCCCCATCTCCCCCCATCTCCTAACCACTCCACTACACTCCCATCTCTCCACCCCACTACACTCCACCATCCCCCCCATCTCTCCACCCCACTACACCTCCAGATCCACCCCACCATCTCCCTCCATCTCTCCACCCCACTACACCCCAGCTCCCCCCCCCATCTCTCCACCCTACTACACCCCACTACACCACCCAGCTCCTCCCCCCCCCCATCTCTCCACCCCACTACACACCGGGGTCGAGAGAATCCTGTGGAACCCTATTGATTCGCACCTGTCCGAGTACCCCGTCCCGGCTGTCGCTCCTGGCCCTCCTGTCCCTCACGCCTGTGCCCTCCTCCTTTCATTTCTGTCTCTTGCTCTGTTTGCCCGTTTATTTGGATTTTTTTTTCCTGTTCTTCTCTCTCTTTTTTATCTTTGGTTGTTTGTCTTGTAGGCTTCTGTCTATCTGTCTCTTTATATCCTCTCTCTCTCTCTCTCTCTCTCTCTCTCTCTCTCTCTCTCTCTCTCTCTCTCTCTCTCTCTCTCTCTCTCTCTCTCTTTCTTTCTCTCTCTCTCCTTTTTTTTCTTCTGGCTTTCTACATCTATGTAGCTGTCTCTGTCTGTCTGTTTGCCTGTCTGTCTCGTTTAATCCTGCCCTTCTATATGTATCTATCTTTTTCGTTGTTTCTTTCGATTCGTCTTTTCTTTGTAATTTTTGTTCAAGTATTTATTTGCCTGACGGTTCTCCAGGTCCTTTTATTTCTCTTGCTCGTCCGCCCATATCTGTAATAGTTTTCTGTTTTATCTATCTATCTGTCTCTTCTCCCATTTCCCTTATACTTCACGGTCTCTTTATTAGGTTCGTAATATCTCTATTTCTCTATCTTCCTTGGTTCCTATTCGTTGATTTGCTCTTTACGCCAGATAATTATATTTTGATTTTTCTCTCCCGTGGTTACGACTCACACTGCCTTTGTTTCCCGCTGTGTCAGATTCTTCTTGTTTTCATCTCTTCGTTCCTCCGTCTCAGGTTATTCTGTCTGTAT